TTGTCTCTCTCTTCTCTCTCTCTCTCTCTCTCTCTCTCTCTCTCTCCTTATGATCAAATAATGACAAATTGCCATTATGTATTGTTCCAGGTCTGGTTTCAAAACAGGCGAGCCAAGTGGCGTAGGCAGGAGAAAATGGAAGCCGCGAGACTAGGTTTAAGCGAGTATCATCACGCTGCTAATATGAGGTTTGTCTAAATATTTATATTAATACAAATATTAACGTAAATTTTCTTGTAATATAACAAATAATAAAATAGTTACAGTATGGAGATATCTCGTTTTAGGAACGTTGCCGGTCCAGCTCTAGGTTTGCCGGGAGATCCTTGGCTTGCGCCGCCAGGACTGCTGAGCGCGCTTCCTGGCTTCCTCGCTGCTCCTCACGCGGGATATCCTAGTTATTTGACGTCTCCTAGGCGATTACCATCACCGCCAAACGTCGGCGCCGTGGCCAATGCCGTTCCAGGTAATAATAATACAATAATTGTACATTTAATATATCGCACTTTTTTGCCAAGCACACGATTCATTTAAAGTATTTCTGAGATATTTAAAAAAATATACACAAATATATGCACATTTGAGAATACAAATTTAAAATACATTTATGGAAAAATTAAAGTTACAATGGTTAAGAAAATTAGATTCACTCGTAGGAATTATCTGATATCAAGATACATACACGAAAATTTTCGCAAAATGCAAAATATATAAAGAGTAAGGCATTAGCATCGACATTACCGCGTTCATCATGATAATTATCATTGGGCATACCCAACGAGACGTAGAAATTGCATTGTTCGCAGGATCGCTAGCCAGCAGTATGGCGAGCATAAGTGCCGGCGGTCACGTGCAACCACCGCCGCCGAGTCCGCCGGGACATGATCCTCGCACCTCGAGCATCCAAGCGCTCAGGATGCGGGCCAAGGAGCACGTCGAGAGCATCACCAAAGGCCTCCAGATGGTCTGAAGGTTAACTGAGGCTACGCCAAGGGCGCGCACCGCTGCCAATCGCACCGGCCTGACGCTTGTGACAGCGTGACGAGCGAGCGATCCTTCGCCCAAAGACATTTCAGATCACGAGGAACCGTCTGAGTAACGTGAGCGGTATATTGACCGACGAGAGCGAGAGCGAGAGAGAGAGAGAGAGAGAGAGAGAGAGAGAGAGAGAGAGAGAGAGAGTACGTCG